TACAATAAACCACTTAGAGCTAACAGATATATACAGAATACACTACCCAACAACAACAGCATACACATTCTTCTCAAGTGCACATGTGACATTTTCCAAGATAGACCATATGTTAGGCCACAAATTAAGTCTCAACAGATTTTTTTTAAAAAAGATATCACACAAAGTATCTTCTCTGACCACAGAGGGATAAGTTAGAAGTCAATAATGTAAAAAAACCCCAGAAAACTCACAAAATTGTAGAAACTAAAGAACACAATTTTAAACAACCAATAGATCAAAGATGAAATAAGAAGGAAAAATAGAAAATACTTGAATGAAATAGATGAGTGAAAAAAAAACCACCAATACAGATGAATGAAATAGGTGAATGGAAAAAAAACACAACATACCAAAACTTGTGGGACACAGTGAAAGCATTGATAAAGGGAATATTTACAGCAATAAATGCTTACATTAAAAACAAGAATGATCTCAAATCAACAACCTAACTTTACAACTTAAGGGACTAGAAAAGAAGAACAAACAAACCAAAGCTAGCAGAAGGAAAGAAATATAGAGTAGACGTAAATGAAATGGAGCCTAGAAAAACAATAGAGACAATCAATGAACCAAAAGTTGGTTCCTCAAAAAAATCAACAAAATTGACAAGCCTTTAGCTAGATGAACTAAGAAAAAGGAGAGGCCTCAAATTACTAAAATCAGAAAAGAAAGTGGGGACATTACTACCAATTCTACAGCAATAAAAAGGATTACAAAAAAGTGCTATGAACAATTGTAAGCCAACAAGTTGGATAACCTAAATGAAACCGAAAATATCCTTGAAACACAAAACCTACGAACATTAGATCGCAAAGGAGGGAAGAACCTGAATAGACTTATAACTAATAAGAATATGGATCAGCAATAAAAAGAATCTCCCAACAAAGAAAATCCCTACACCTGATGGCTTCACTAGCAAATTCTACCAAACATTTAAAAAGGAACTAATATCAATCCTTCTCAAATTTTTCCAAAATTGAAGAGGAGGAACACTTCCTAAATCATTCTAGGAGGACAACATTATTACCCTGATACCAAAGCCAGACAAGACAAAACACTACAAGAAAACTACAGACAATGATTATCCTTTATAATCATTGATTAAAAATCCTCAACAAAATACTAGCAAAATGAAATCAGCAGCCTATTAAAAATATCACACATCATGACTGAGGGGTTTATTCCTGCAATGCAAGAATAGTTCAACATACGAAAATTGATCAATGTAACACATCATGCATGTCAACAAAATTAAGGGAAAAAAATACATGATCATCTCAATTGATGCAGGAAAATCATTTGGCAAAATTTAACACCTTTTCATGATGAAAGAACCCAAAAAGTAAAAAACCTAGAACTAGAAAGAAACTACCTCCACATAAGAAAACATATACGAAAAACCTACAGCAAACTTAGTAGTGGTGAAAAATTGAAAGCTTTTCCTCTAAGATCAGGAACAAGGCAAGGATGCCTACTTTCACCACTTCTATTCAACAGAGTACTTGAAGTTGTAGCCAGAGCAGTTAAGCAAGAAAAAGAAATAAAAGGCACCCAAACTGGAAATGGAGAAGTAAAATTATCTATTTTCAGATGATATAATCTTATATTATAGAAAACTCAACCGACTCCACAAAATCATTATTAGAACCAATAAATGAATTCACCAAAGTAGCAGGATACAAAGTCAACATGCAAAAATCAGTTGTATTTCTATACACAAAAAAATGAACAATCTGAAAAGAAAATTACAAAAACAATTCCATTTACCATAGCATCAAAAAGAATAAAATACTTAGGAATTTAACCAAGAAGGTGAAAGACTTGTACAATGAAAACTAAAACATATTGATGA